TGTTTCTAATTACATTTTCTAGCTATCAAAGGACATCTTAGAACATCCGGACAAAAGAAACATATAAGCTAACACTGTTCAGGTATGTCTTCCTGCATTTTACACCACTTTTGATCACTGTCAAGCTGTTTCTAATTACATTTTCTAGCTATCAAAGGACATCTTAGAGAGCCCTCAAAAGAGCCCTCGCAGGGGCCGAAGGGGCGAACGGGTCCTTCGCGCCGGTTGGTTCTCCGCGGTTCGCCGTGGAGGTGCACCTAAGCAGTAGCAGCAGCCAATAGCTTCTTGCCTACGCGCTGCTTCCGCGAGCGTCTACGCAAAAAGGAAGAAACATGTCACTGCGCACCTGCTTTCTCAGCACGTCCTATCTCAACAAGAACTGGGGAAACACGCTTGGCCCCCAAGCGGCTGAACCTTCCCGGGGGTCGATTCCTATGTTAATACACTCTCATATAGGGAGACACCCTGGCCCAAGGCCCTGGCTGGGTGAACTTCCCGAACCGAAACCTGGGAGGTCTCCCTACTATTGAAACCCACACCCGTACCTTCTGAGGGTGTTGTTGCATCCAAGAGATGTCAAGATTGAAGACTTGGATGTGAAATTCAGTGAAACCGGGAGAACCACTGGTGACTACCTGCAACGCAGCCATTAGTATGAGGTGTCAACCGGTAACCTTCCCAGGGTCAGTTCCTCAAAGAACTGTAGACATCTTGTGGCCGCGTGTTACGTTGTGTGACCGTGTGTGGGTATATCGCGCGTCGTGACGTTGGGGCTCTGACAGCATGTCCTCCAAGAAATTCCCTTGCTTCGGGAAATGGACCAAAACCGACTTGATTGGTGACTGACCAAGCCACATACCGGTGCATTTTTCCCTTTACCCGCGTGCAACATGCAAGTGAATTCTGGCGCCCTTCGAATTCTACCTCGATGGATCGGCTGATGTATTAACAGGTTTTTGGTACTTGTTGGTACATGAACATTGAGTTAAAACATGGAGTTAAAGCAGGTTAGGCATATCCATTCATCATGGTTAGTGTGCTTCGGTAGCTATCACCCAAAAGTGCTTTTCATGACCCCTCACTCTACCCACTCACTCTTTTGCCTCTTGTAGGACACTCCTGTGGAGCACTCTTGTAGGACACTTGTCAGACATTCTTGTGGGACACTCTTGCGGGACACTCTTGTGGGACACTCTTTGGGGCACTCTTGCGGGACACCCTTGTGGGACACTCTTCTTTGTCACTCTTGTGGGGCGCTCTTGTATGACATTCACTCTTACGGGACACTCTTGTAGGACACTCTTGCGAAACAGTCTTGTAGGACGCTCTTGTGGGACACTCATGTGTGTCACTCTTGCAAGAAAATCTCGTAGGGCACTCTTGTCAGACACTCTCGTGGCACACTCTTGTAGGACCCTCTTGTGGGACACTCTAGCAGGACACGCTTGTGGGACACTCCTATGGAACAGTCTTGTGGGACACTCTGGTAGGACACTCTTGTCGGACACTCTTGTGGGACACTGTTGTAGGACCCTCTTGTGGGACACTTTGGTAGGACACTCTTATAGAACAGTCTGGGACACTCTTGTCGGATACTCCTGTGGAACACTGTTGTGGGACACTTTTGCGGGGCACTCTTGTAGGATACTCTTGTCCCAAACTTTTATGGAACAGTCTTGCGGGACACTCTTGTGGTACACTTTTGTGGGGCACTCTTGTAGGACACTCTTGCCGGACACTCTTATGGAACACCCTTGTGGGACACTATTGTGGGACGCTCTCGTCGGATACCCGTGTGGGACACTTCAAGTCTGCAAAACGAGCGCTTCGTACGAGACTTCCTCCAAAATTCACGCGTCAATCATCGTCAATCCGTTTCGTGCGAGACTTCCTCAAAAAACTCGCTTTAAAAGTCACGCGCCCAGTCTCCAAAACGAGCATTTCGTACAAGACTTCCTCCAAAAGTCAAGCGGGAACCCCCATCGGAGCACACACATCAAGCAGCCCTGCCAAGCAGTTTTGCGACACAGGAACATTCACTTCCACCACAACTCGCAACCTCACGATTCCCTGCGCCTGCCACGAAAATCGCACTTCCATACCTCAAACCCCGCGGAAGTACTGCGCCTGCCACGACGAAAAGGGACACGTTTTGAATGCAATGTCACAGCCACATCCAACACCCCTGTTGTGATTGTTCCCAGCGCTGCCCAGAAAATCTTTGCCCTTTTTCCCGAATGCGTAGCGAAGGGTTCTCGTTTAACTCTGGGGGTCTGGGGGTATAGCCTTGGTGGTCTCAGCATTCGCAACCGTCCACCGCCGTTCGCAGTAGGGTGCTGAGGGTTTGCATGGAAGCGTGACGTGTCAGATTCGTGTGAAATAGAGGGGAATCGTGTGGAAACGTAAGATGTTGCGAAGTGTGGAGGATGATTTCACTGCGCAGGCACAGCGTTTTGTGAGATCCGCAGTTTTCTGCGTAGTCACATTGGGATTGGCGTTTGGAGGGCTGTAAAAAATTAAAATGTTACCAATGGTTAGCTAACTTACCAACAATCAACCGGTCCATCGAAGTCGGAAGAAGAGGCCGAAGAGGAAACAAGGTACCATAAAACGCTTATAGACTATACATGCACAAAGGTGATACATTATAAAAAGTCTACTGAGTCTACGTATGAACTTTCCTCTTCGGCCTCCTCTTCTCGGCGTGGCTCCTCTCGACCCGGCCCTGCGCGCAGAGATGGGGTGTTTCTGGATGAGGCCTCCCATGGCAGCCGAGTAGGCACGGCAGTCCACCTGCACCTGACCATGCGGAACTTGAAGAGGAGCAAGATGCGTCAAACACATCCAGGTCCAACTGAAAACGAGATGGATCTCCTTTAGGGCGTGCCTAAACACTCCGCATTCCGGCATTCCATTGGGTTGGTTTCAGGGGTCAATGCAGTTAAATATGCCATAGATGGAGTGTCAAGTGTCTGGGGATTGTCAAACCTCTTGGCACTCCTCTCGGCTCTTACTCAAGTCCACATATTAGGTCAACCTGCTAGTTGACGGCCACAGATCTCATTACATAAGATATCGGTTGGTCCTTCTGCGTGGTCCAGACATCAATGCCGAGTGCAAAGTCGTAGTCAACCCAGTGTGGCCGTCTTGCCAACTTCCCACCGACACGATGGACTTTTGGGAGCCAGAGTCACCGGACGATGGTTGGTGATGGTTGATGATTTCAACATGTTGAACAACATGTTTTCAAGTCACTTGAAACAATGTGTTCGAACTCGTGGGATCCAAGATGATCCAAGCATTTCAAACAAAGGTTGAAACAAACGCATCGTGAAAGCAGCCACCTATAGTGGATGATCCAGCGCTAGTGGGTGATCCAGTGGCGGTCCGATTGCGCGATAACTGAGTAGGGTGGCAGCCTCCAAACAAGGAACTAAGGAACTTGGGGCGGTATTCGTTGATGAGATCTTTTGATTGGAAGATGAGCATACCCAAAGCTGCCACCTGGCCCTGCGCGCAGAGATGGGGTGTTTCTGGATGAGGGTAATTGGAGGGTGGAAGGTGTGGTGGTTTGGAATCCTTCAGGGGGGCGCCCGTTGGAAAAACCCAGTATCATTTAGTATGGGACAGTATTTTGGAAGATATCAATGTATTTATATATTCAAAAAAAATGCGATTTACGACCACATGGCAAGCCGATATCAATTGGAAGCAACACCCAAAAGGTATGCAACGTCAGCAAATCTCTTCCGTTTGAAATGAAAGCATGCTCCATCACCCAAAAACAAAACGGACCTTAGGCCGATCTCTCGACTCCCTGTGTCTCTAGAGACAGCGTAAAAAGTAGCTAGTTAAATTGTTAGCTATTTTCCTGGTCTATTTCTGTTCTCTCAAAATCTGTTCTCTCAGCAATTTACATAGAATTTTGCTGAGCCTATCTAAAATATCACTGAATAATTCAATGCGTCTTTCTGTCTGCTTCCTGTTGTCCTTGAGTGTGAAGGAATGCTATCTCGGACAGAGAATTCTAACACAGGTGCCACACTGCAAGTATTTGATGGGGGGGGTTGAAAATGTAACTACACACGTCGGAGGTAGTAAGTTGCATTTCCCCCCCCCTTTTAATCTCAGGAAGTTACATGTATTAACCCCCCCCCAAGTGAGTGGTTAGTGGGGGGGGTTGATAAATGTAAGTACAGGCCTCGGACGTCCTAAGTTACATAAAAAAAAGCACGTCAAGGGGGGGTTACTTACAATAAAAAGGATCCCTAGGGGGGACCCCAGAAAATGTAAGTTACATTTTTGAGCCCCCCCCCTCAAACTCAGAGGTAAGGCGGTAGGGATGATTGAACAACCTCTTTAGGGCTTGGGGGGCTGAAAGATCGAAGATCCCGTCTCATCTGACCTGGTTGGACTCTAGGTAGTTGCTTCATGTTGCTTCCTTTTAAACACCACCAGCACGTCATGCAACCAACATCTCCTGACCCCAGCTGTGCTTCTTCCGGGTACGAAGGAGTCGCCTCCGTCCGCCCGTTTGCCGAGCCACGGAGAGCCGAACCAGCAAACCGAGCTCTTGGACATCTCAATGGGGATCCTTGGATGAAACAGTTGGAGGGCTCTGCCGGGCTCCTTGGATCAAAGGATCCTCCATACTCAATGGATGTCCATGGATTTCCCATACTTTTCCTGCTACTGGGATCCGTTTGGGATCCAAGCGGGATCAGACAGCGTTCCCCACCGACGCTCCCACGCGTCATCTTTGCGTACTTGCCGAGGTTTCTAGAAGACAGCACTCATTCAGTCAGCTAGTCGGTACGGGCAAGATCACGTTTGAGATCACGTGGTTGCTATAGTAGGTTCGGTTGATGCCACCGCTGTCGGAGACAGAACTTGAGATAAACATGCGTATTTCATCATTTTCTCAAATGACTTTCACCCCAAACACCATCTAACAAATAACTCTGCCCAGTGTCAAAACCACTCAGATATGTAAAGGGAAAGCGTGGCAAAACCGATGGGGTTGGTCGCTGCAAAACCCGCAAACGACCTGACTTGCCAAAAAGAGCCCGGCCAGAGACATAGCCCAGGAGTTCACATCTTTTTCATCAAAGCTTACAGATTGGGTGATGTGTCCCACATCGCCATCAGTCCAAGCATCCCCACATCGCCATCAGTCCAAGCATCCGCATGCCCAGGAATTCCGGAAACGCCAAGGCCTCTTCCGTGGACACTCGCCTGGATGGGTACGTTCGGCCTCTTCCGGTTCGGTTTGAGGTCTCCGGCGCTGGGGACGTTCGAATGCCAACGGTGTCACTTGGACGCTTCGAGCCCCCCGCCGCCGGGCGTAGGGCACAGGGTCGGGACTCTGGGTTTCTGGCGGCACACATGAAGATCTAAGTTCTGGTTGCATAAAAAGAACGTTTCAAGGGTGTATGCTCTGGGTCACTCATGCTCAAGTTCATGATTGCTGGCACTGGATGAATTCTCAGGCTTTCTCAGGTCGTGCGGAGAGTATGCTGATCAAGAGTTTGACACGGAAGAAGAAGTGTCCTTCTGCCGGGGCAACTGGACCCACTCAGAAACCCAAACATTCTACTGTGGGAACCTCCATAATTATACCACGAGTCTTACGCCTCTTGCCAAGAGCTTCGAACTTTTGCGGTCTTGATCATGACTCACCTCGTTCATCGGTTTAATTAAGCATTCATCGAGTTCTCCGGAACGAGTCGTTGTGGAATCTTGGCTCACCACCGTTTGCTTACGCCATCCCAATCCCACACCGAGCACCAAAAAGTAACCGGGCGATTCGATCAAATGCTTGGATATTCTGGATTTAGTCCGTGAACAGCATGATCCCCCGGTTAGAGAAGACAACAAACAAATCCCTTCTTGGGGGGGCCTTAGCAACACAACCACAAAACCTGTCGCCGAACCACATCACGGCCACTCCCTCGCATCATCTCTCCGCACCCACTGTGTGGTGAGCTGCACTTGGAAGCGTCCACCACGACTGCGTGGGGCACAGCGCTCCGCCGTGAACTGCTTGCCGCTTGCGTCCCGGTCGCGCGTCGCGCTGCTCAGGGGGAGCTCGCCGAAGCGCCTTCGAGTCGGCGAGCCCGGGCGAGCAGCGAGTCGAGCACGATGCGGGGAGGCCGGATCGAGCTGCCGCGTGGATTTTGGGGAGCGGTGGAGCTCTTGGGATTTTGGGAACAAAGGTGGCATGGGCCTTGGATTGGAAGAATGATGACTTGCCTTGGATTGGAAGGGCGGTGGGGGGAATCAATTGTTGTACACAAGCCTTTCTGCGGATTAGGTTGCCTCATCACATAGGAAAAATGCATTGCAAGGGACTTGTAAAAGACTCTACATGCCGACATATTGGTGTGCCTTTGCCTGCCCCATTTGCCAGTTGTCAGCCTAGCTGCTCTGAGAAGTTGAAAAGGGCTGGGATGCTGATGAAAATCTCGCCCCACTCGCCCGAATAGACGTGCGCGCTGTTCAAACGGACCTCCGAACAAAAAAGGTCACGGGACCCGCAGGACGAAAAATCACACGAGATGTGTTGAGATGCTGTTCTGACGAGGTGTGAACAGGGTGGGTCCGGTCATGCTTGCAGAGTTGGTCAATCCGAGGATAGTGCTGAAGCATGCTGGTGCCAACGTGGATTCTGAAGCCCGATGATTCGGAGAACGTCTTGCGTGAACGAGTTCGCATGACGTGAATGGCTTTCGAAAAGGTTGTCTAAGGACATCAATTGGAATCGCTGGGTTCGTAGGGTTGGACCTGCTGGGTTGCAATGGTAGGAATGTCTTTTGGACACTTGCATGTTGTAGAGTCTTTTGGGGCGGCCTCGTGAAGTTCCTGAGACAAGCACATCAGCCAATGACTCTTTCTTGCGGACATTCATGAACCATCCAAGAGCGGATGGTAGCAAGAGTGGTATCTTGACATCATCCATGATGTTAAGTTTTGTGAACTGCTGCGTTCCACATGTTGGTCGAGTCAAAACCAAAAGGTGCTGAACCCCCGAATGGTGGCTTGTAGGAAACAGCAAATATCCTCTGTGAAGATTAGTGCCTCTTCAGGTCCTTTCTTACCCCCAGACTGCGTCTGAACCACAATCCGATCGACCACCCCCACGCCCCACGATGTCCCGGCAGTGGTTTTCCGAGGTCAATCCGCTCGGCTCCCTTCAACGACCAGCCCAAACGAGGCAAGACGCCATGGAGTTGTTGTAGCTGAACTGAAGCAAACACTCCGTGGTTCCCAGCTGGTGTGCCCGCTGCAGTGGGGTGCCCTGGTGGCCACTGTCTTCGAAGAGACAAAGTGGGCCGTTCACACCTGCATGGCAGTGTTCAGCCAATGGTGCGACACATGCGTTGAAACTGGTTCGAGCTTTTGGAACGATATGGTCCGTGCTGTTTTCAGGTTTCAAACGGTTTATCACGCCTGCTTTGTTCTCCTCAATGTCTCTATGTTCTGTTGCACAAAAGTCCACTCCTCTTTGGAGTCCTTGGAATACTTGATACTATAGTGTCAACGCCGGATGGAGAACACGTGCCAAAACCCTGGGGTATTCGCGCTCCTCAACTCAGAATTATACCAGCATAGACCCCAAACAGCTTCAAAACGATTCGTTTAGACCAATATTAGTCAAAAACCGATTTCTTGGTACGTCCTACCTTCACCCCAAGAGCACACTGCTTCATCAATGAATTTTTGTCGGCATTGACATCGCTATTTGTTCGGCCACACTCCTCTCCAGTAAACCGGGCCACAGAGACCAGCCACAGAGTTCAGGGGCGGCCAAGACAAGGACAAGAGGAGGACAAGGCCTGGACACAGAGCCCAGCCACAGAGCGAGTTCAGGGGCGCGGCCAGTGAGTGTGGCCAGCTCTCCTTTTTTTCTAAGATAGAACCCCAACAGTAAACTGCTTGGGGAAAAAGAACTCCCGAGAAAACCCATCCCCTTCACCTGTAGGGCCGCCCAAGGGGGATCCTGGGCTTCGGCGCCACTTCGCCTTTGGCACCTCCAATGGACTCCGTCGAGCCTGCATGAACCTGTTCAAGGCACGAGCTGCCAAGACGTGCGACCGACATATGCGAACACGACGGGTGCCACGCCTTTCCACTCCCAGTCCGGCAAGTGGGGCCGCGCTTTTAACATCAATCGGCCAAAGTCGGCAGCGTAGGGCAGGTAGACTTGGTGAGATTCGGTGCCTGCGGTCGAGACTCCAAGGATTCTTTTGATTGCAGGTTCTCCAGAGTCTAAGGCAATGGAGATCCACCAAAAGACCAATTTCGTAATACATCATCTTCCAAGCACGCGGACAACAACATCATACAACCTCCCCACAAATGTACAAAGCTCCCTTCCCTAGGTTGGAGGGAGTTGGAGGTTTTGCATTGGTGGGAGGCCTTCGCTAGTAGGTTGGAGGCCATGGCTTTGAAACCCCCTCTCTCTCCCTCTTTGACAAACCCAGTTGCTCTCTTCGCGTGTGCAGCCCGCATCACCGCAGCTGAGGCGAACCGTCTTCCAGCCCAACATGGTTGGGATGAAGATCCCATGGCCCTCAGCATCGGTCATGGGATAGTTGAAGTAGGGCGAGTGTCTCAAAGCACTGCAGCCCGAGGCATTCACCTCATGGGAATACCTCGGAGCCACCGAGGTAAACCGTGAGAGACATCAATATGAAGCCACGACGCGAGGACAAGGGGAGGCGCATGGAACGGAAAGAAGGCGACGGCGATGTCCACACTTCGAGGTGACCCTCTTCGAAGGCAAAGCTGTCCCAGCCACCAAGCGATAAAAAGGGGGATCATATACTCTTCACCAAGTGACTATGGTTACTCTGACTACTCACTATCACATGGTTACTCTGACATGGCCTGGTCCCGAAAAGAAGACGCCTTTCCTTTACGAAGACGGGTGAAGAAGCACGAGTGAACCACTTCCATGTGATGTGGATGGCCGGAGTGAACACTTTAGTGGTGCCGGTGCCAGATGTGGGTTGATCAGCTAATCAATAGCCTGAAAGCGGAAACAACGCAAAACACACCCAGTTCGGCGAATTCCAAGGACACCAATCGCAGGAGAAGTTCTGCGGAGCGGTGCAATAGTCAGGCCGATGTTGGGTGAAGTTGTACTGGTCCTTGTGACCCTTGAAGGCCATCTCACTTTGATCGATTTGGTACACATCCTTGGATTGTGAATTGGGTGTGTGTCGCGCAGGGCTTGAGCGTCCCGCCCCCGCCTTCCTTCTTTTGTTTGGAACATGGACGATGTGACTCAAGATGACAACGATGATCCTTCCCAACGATGGCAACATGTCTGCCATTCTGCTTCATTGAAACCCCCCACCCCAAAAGGGCAAAGATGTTTCATGCTTTGGACACTCTCCGGAATCACCTGAATGAACCGCCACCCAAACCCTCCACCTGCCACCGCCCGCTTCGGAAGCCGCCGATGCGGCGGAAGCCGAGCGGACGGTGGACCGGGGATCCCGTCGGCGTCTGCTCGGTGGCTTCGGGGGGAAATCCCCAAAGTGTTCTGAGACAATTCCCCGGTAAACACGGGGATGCGATCCCTTTCTGGAGGCGGTCTGCAGGGACCGTTCTGAACACTGGGGATCCAAGAAACACGGTCAGAGCGAAAGTCAGGGACGGACAAGTCAAGCACTATAAGCACCTCTAGAAAGTCAGGGACGGTCTCCGCGTGTAACTCTTCTTCAAACCGTCCACATGAACCAACAGACCACAACGCACCCAACTATCATCATTCCACCTCACACCAACGAAGGACGCTCGCTCGCTTGTCCACCCCACACCCGGCTCGGAAAAGGCGGTTCGTTTGTTGGGCAACCCAGAAAACCAAAAAGGAACAGATCGACGGCACTCGTGCTTCGTCGTGCGAAGTCGTAGCATGATGAGCATCGGTGTGAACGGGCTCAAAGGTGGTAGGGCTAGTGCTGAGCACGATGTACGCGAGGAGAAATGGCACGAAGCAAATCGAAAGCCATTTGAAGGCGCCTCAGATTGGCGCCGTCTTGCGGCATTTCATCCACTTTGTCGCATGAGAAGTGACATCTATCTACCCTTGGACGGATTCACTACGCGGCGGATTCACGACGTGCTCGTTGTTGCGCACTGAAACCACAGACGTCTCTTGGGTGGAGAGCAGTGCCGACGGCAAAACAGGTTGAACGGTCTTTTTTCTGGTCCTGTCTGACATGCTTTAGACAAACTGGCAATCGAAACATGGCAATCCTCATTCTCATGAACAGGGTCGAGCATTTGTCAAATTGTTCAAACTGTCTTTCAACCAGGGTCTTTCAACCAGGTGGTGTTTGGTCCCTAAGTGAGTGGATCATGGGCACCCGTAACTTCCATGGATAGCACCCCGTATTGTGACTCCTGGAATGAATTCCATTCTCCAAATTCAAAGACGTCTTGTTTGGCAATACCCAGAGTACTGTACTCAGAGCGGAACGCCCCATCGCCCTCGAGGTCCCACCGCCCCCCGACCGCTGAAGAGCGACCCCAAAAAGCGCCAGCTTCGACGATCGCCACACGAACCCGGAACCGGCTTCAGCAAACCCCCACCCCAACCCCCCGAAGGGATCCAAGAGAGGTCTTCAGTGACCGGAACCTCTGGGGACCCCGGCAAAACCCTGGGGTACCAATGGCCTGGGAGTCGAACAGTCGGGGGTCTTCCACCAAATCTATCGGGCTCTGCCTCCATTCTCGTCACCAACGGGCGGACCAAACAAAGGCCGCTCGGAGCGAAAGCGTCGGCGGCACGGGAGTGAAGTCCTGCGACCTCCTGACACTGCAAGTCCCTCGCGAGGCTTTTGGTTCTTCCATGGCTCAAAAATCAGTAAAGGTGCACTGACTAGTCGGAACCCAAAAAAACATCGGACTGAAGTAAAAATCCCACTCCAACTCATCAAAAGGCTACAGTTACCCACACCAATCCCGATCTTCAACCCCGATCTCCGACCCCGCGACCCCACTTGGGCGCGCGCACCCAAACGCGCGCGCGCGCGCGCGCGACCCGACGGACTCGAGCAAGCCACGGTCGATGAGGGGATCTTCCAGGATCACAAGCGGGGAGAGGTGCGGCTTCGCAATCAGCGGCCACATGAGCTCCAGCGCGGCCACATGGAGCGATTCTTGGGGATCGATGAGGCAAAATAGCCCCTTTTGGTGTCCAGGGCAGCGTGGGACAAATGTTCGGGATTTTTCTGTTGCCTTGTTTGGGGAGGTCTGTTTTGTACTGAGAAAGCTTGTGGATGCCTAAAGGGTGTGTGGTGGGTTTTTCTAAACACAGGAGTCTGGATATTCTTTGGCTCCTGTGACTGTCAAGTTGGGCAGCTACTCGAAGTGGAATCGCAGCAGGGATTTCCACAGAGTGGTGAAGATGCCGGTGGACCCTCGGGAAACATGTTGATGTTTGTTTATATGATTTGTATGCTATGTGGTTCCTTGGTTGTGGGCCTTTGGTTGTGGGCGATTTTGGTGCTTAACGTCATCAAAGGGTTTTGCAAGGTCAGTTTCCAAGCCGGATTGTTTCCAGGACGTGACCTATATTGAATGTCCAGTGCCTTCGGGACGACCTGCCAGGCACGACCTGACTGCCACGCCACGGAGCCACGAATCCAAGTGGCCCGAACTCTTGCGGTGGCGCAAGCGCACCTGCAGGTGGCGAAGGAATCCGCTGCAGTCCCGGCGACTGCAGAACATCAACATCCATCAACATCCGGATATATTATGATATATTCTCCTCCGTCTGGGAGGTTGCCACAGTCGGACAAAGAACGCAAGAGTGCTCCAATTCCAAGCTGCTTCAAGGCGGCTCTTTTGATGACCTTTGATATATAGCCCAACCCGCTCCAGGGGACACCACACGTACATTGTTACACGGTGGCAACCTTGAACAGGAAAATCGAAGTCTCAGGCCAGGTGACATCTTCTTGACATGGCCAGGGTTGAGAGCCCCAAGCTCGGAGGACACCATTCAAGGTCTCACCTTAGCAGCCAAGCCGCATCCCGTGAATCACTGAACCGGATGGCTTCGCTCAATAACCCAGACACTCCATGGGACTGCCATATATCATATATGCCGATCAATTGACCCCCAAAACCACCCCAACTGATCGGCATGTATAGCAGTCCCATGGGTCGTGTCTGGGTAACTGTGCGCAGGTTTCAAGTTCGGGGTAGTCAAGTGAGTCAGCCAAAATTGGGGAAACCCCCGAAAGGATTCATGCTTCAGTCCTTTTGGACATCTGTGGGAGACTGTTGGTGAGGAAATCTGATTCTTTTGGGCTCATGTATAGCACTTAGATTAAAAAAAAGAAGCGGACCGGAATCGAAGACCTTCCAAACTCAGCCGAATGCTGGACTGGGTGGCCCCAGAACTGGTCGACTAGATGTAGGTCAATGGAGTGGCCAAACCATCGCGGAGAGCGGCCATACCAGGATCATCCTGTCTGTGTGTCCTGGCTCGACCCTACACTGAATAGGGAGCGACAGGACAGGACATCCAGACAGGCATGCTCCAGGTATGTGGGCCAACTTGCAACTTCATGTCTGACTCATCTTGCTGTACATTCTTGTCGCTGAGCAACTCAAAACAGGCAAAAGATGTCAAAAGTGGCTCTGAAAACACGCCATCCTGCCCTGTATGGAAACCACATGCGGTGCTGAAAAAGAATCTATGAGTCTATGAGAGTGCAATTCAGGGGTTGACTAGATTGGCATGTCTACGGTATACGTCCTTTCTCAAGGCGGCTCTCCATGCTCTGTTGCCGGTCTGTCGTCTATGGGAAGCCTGCTCTTTGGAGTGAAGCAGCCGAATTGGAGGGCATCAACGCTGTGTAAAATCTTGAGCGTTTCCCTCCGCCATGGGTGACTTTTTCGATGTATAATCCTTTGGAGGGGTCTGGGGTCTCAAATCCCTAGCTGCCCTAGCTTTTGAGGGACCAAGACTCGTTTGGAGCGTCTGGGTAAGAGCGAGAATCTGCAGTTGCCCACCAGCAGAGTCTGATTACTCCCAAGGCTCCCGACTCACCATGCCTCGACAGCAGTGTCGAAGTCGGACGACAAGGCGTCTGCGGTCTTTTTTGGAGGCAAAACCCTTGGATTTGCTTAAGGAACCGACGGGACGGAACCAAGAAAAAGTAAAAAAACTCCCGTAAAATCCCAGGCATTCCCCAGGTCAGGGGATTTAACCATAGGGAAAATAGTCGTCTGATCAGCCAAACCAGGCAAATCCTTGGGTGCGAATTGGGTGCGACTAGACTCCACCGTCTGGAACCCCTGGAAAAATGATGAAGGTGAACCCCATGACTGACCATCGTGCCATCTGTCATCTGACCGGCAGTGTCGACGCCGAGATTCTCGGGCGTTCGGGAAAGCAATTCCCCCACTGAAGGGTTTTGGTCTGCTGAGTAGGACAATCTCACGGAGTAGCGCCTTGGAGGTGATGAGAATGTACATGGCACTATATATATATATATATAGGCCAAAGAGCTCCAAGTACCTAGACACTAGCTTTGGAGGCTCATGGCGTGGCATGGTGAGAGG